TGGTGTTTCTGTTTTTGTTTTTGTTTTTGTTTGTGGTACCGGGGATTGAACTCAGGACCTTGCACTTGTGAGGCAGGCACGGCACCACTGAGCTAAATCCCCAGCCCAGGAGTAGGAAATATTTAGTGAGAGATTTCAGCTGCTGAGAGGCAAGAGAGGTCCCAAATGGGTGGCCAAGGACCCCACTTTTTAGGGAAAGTTTTATAAATCACAACCTCATGGGTACAACATGGGTTAAAGCTATGGTCAATCAATATGGTTACAAGTATAGTTGCTTAGGTAACAGTGATGCAATGGGGAAGCAAGTCACATAGCAAGTATACATGGAAAGAACAAAGAACTTCTCAGGAAGGTGATGGGTCTGAGGAGCTTAGTGTCCTACCGAGGTGACATGTTTGTCTAGATTTCATTAGACCAGGTGTTACCACTTATCTCATCCCTTCGGGAAGTATGCAGTAGTCCTTTTGTCTTTATCTTGAGGTCTGGCCTCTAACTGATGCATCTCCGGTTACAGTTGTTTTCATCTTTTGCTCTGACTCTCAAGCGCCCAGCTCTACCTGACTACCTATAATACTTCTACCCAACTTAACTGCCTATAATAGTAGGGCTTCCTGGAACCCAGGGAATCACAGGGGACCTCTGTAGGGACTCAAGGGGAAAGGACAGGCACCCTCCTTCTACACCCCTGATTTCAGCAGACGACACCCAGTCAGCTGGAACATTGTGCATTGAGAGCATGAACCCAGCTGCGCCTCAGGAAAATCACTGAATGAGTGATTTTAGAAAAAGGAGAAAAAAAAGCAGTTTTTACATTTAGTTGGGTAGAAAGGGTCTGCTCAGCAGGACCTGCTTTTCCCTTGAGGATGTTTGAAGGAAGAGAGGGTTGATTGCTATGTTTTTGTTTTTGATGACCAGCATAGCTCAGTAGTGAGTAAAATGGCATTTCAAAGGGGAGCAACCAGGAAGTTGCCTCTGTGTAAAATCTGCATAGGATGATGAGGTGAAGTCTGCAGTCAAAATGAAGAGCTGTACCTCTCAGGAGCAGACCAGCAGCAGGAGGAAGAGCAAGTCCTGTAGATAGGGCAAGCAAGTAGTGGGCCAGAAGCCCTAGGAGATTATGGACAGAATCAAAGTACAGAGCCATGAAAAGGAGAGATGGGCAGAGCAGCAGAGGAAAGAAAGAAGCATCAGAGAAGTGAGGATGGAGACCAGTGAGGGACACTCAGGAATGAGTGTTAAGAAATTGACAATTAAAAGTAATATTAAAGTAGAAGTCACAGAGAGCAATGCAAAGTGGGAGATGGAGAGTAGTTGGGACCAGGGGCTATGTGCTGCTTGAGCTGAGAATGCTTCTACCCTGGGAGGGATCAGGTGATCTAAAGCCAAACCCAGGAGGCAGGCACAGAAGGGAAGTGGGGAATGGTCTCCCAGCTCCTTGTCTGTGTCTCAGTGGTTAGTAAGTGAGGAAGGGAAAGCAGTAAGAGACAAGAAGTATGTTGCATCAGGCCATCTAGGGTGACTTAGGAAGAAAAGTTCTGCCAAAATAAAAACAAGGGAAAAAAAGAAAAATTAGAACACACAAAGGAGTCATCTCTGAAAAAGAAATGATAAAAATGAAGGCAAGTGCAAGGAATTTTCTGCAGGCCTACAGGAGGAAATGAGAAGACAGATATACCAGGAAATCTAGAATAAAAATCTTAACAAATTGCCAAGAACATTAAAATTGTTTTAAGGGGCTGTGGGAAAGAAAAGACTTAGGAAAAAACAGAGATGTCATTTGCAACATTTTCTACAACATTAACATAAGAGACCTGGGACCAGAGATTTAGCTCTGGAAGAGAAACGGGCTTTTAGAAGGTGTCAGCCTTCTAAAAACAACTGGGTGAGGTGGCAAGAGGGAGGCCCAGGAGAGGCAGAAGTGTTCACTGATCCTTTTGAAATGTAAAGGGGAGGTTGGCTTTAGGCTCCGTGGTAAAATGCATGCAAGCCTGGGGCTCTGGGTGCGGTATGAGAGACCAAGGCAGGAGGATCTCAAGTTTGAGACCAGCCTGGGCAACTTAGTGGCTTAGCAAAATCCTGACTCAAAACTTTTTTTAAAAAATTTTTTTTAAGAGCTGAGGATTAAAGGCCTTGGGTTTAATGCCCAGTATGGGTTTTGAGAATGAGAGTTACTGATACACACAGACCACAGCTGTCAGAAAGAGAAAACAACAATGTGCATGTCTAAGAAATGATGGATTCATATTTGTGAGGGGATATGGTTTTTATTGGTTAATGAAGGTCTTCTCTATACAAATAACTTTCATGAAGCAGGAATGAATCATACTTAAGAGTTGAAGAAAAAGTCTTTTAAGTGTGTCAAGATCTTATAGCCTCTCTGCCCCTCACCGCTCTACTGACTGGGCTTTGAAACTTTCCCATACTGATTTCAGTCCTGGCTTCCTGGACAGTACTTCTCAAATGTGTGTCCCTGATCCCTGGGCAACCCTAACCCTGTTGTTCTGGGGAGACAATGAGCAGGGACTGTTTCAGAGGCATCCCCACTTGACACTAGCTCATCTGTCTCTCCCATCCCTCCCTTGTTTGCCACTCTGGAATTCTCTTCTTGCCAAGAAATGAAGTGGGATGGAGTGGAGTGTAGTAAATCTTTCTGACCAAGCTTCAACACAAGGAAATTTATCCAGGGTTTAATTCATAATGGTTTTTTGGGCTGAATCTAAAGCTTGAGCTTGGTTATTAGCAGAAAGCTGGAGAGAAACTGCCCATTGATCTTTCCACTTCCTCCTCTGTGGACTGGGCAGTTTACAGGAGGCAAACACCGCCATCTAGTGGTGTATCCAGGGTTCTCTCCAGGCCCAAGGTCTTTATCCTTTCTTGCTCCCTCCCCTGCAAATCCCACCCCCTCCCCTCAACCTTCGCATTGAATCTGGTTATGGCTTGCCCTCGGGGTCAGCGGGTCTTATGTACGGGTGTCCCGTGGGATGTTTGCAGGAAAAGATTAAGCCCCTCCACACTGGTCTGCAAAAGGCTTCACCCATACTGTACTCATCGATGCTGCCCTGAAAGGGCTACACGGTGCACCTCTGGCCATGTGTATGCTTGGCCCCAGGAAAGAGCCAGGGCTACCTGGTGTTGGTACAAAGGAGCAGCAGCTAGGGAGTCTGCATTTTATAAGCTCTTGGGGCGATTTTTATGCACTCCTCTTGTGTGCAACTGATGGACATTTCTGAGCTTAAATGTGCCACCATATGAGATGATGATGACAGTGTTACTTGCCTCACACGGGTACTTTGCTAACTGTGAAGCATTCTACAGATGCAAGCTAGAACTACCCTACCACCTCCTTCTCTAAATGGCATTTTAGGGAAAATGGCACCAAGAGAGTGACAGAGTGGGGAGGGGAGGCTGTATGTTTGTTTAATGGACCAGGGAGGTTAAATTGAGAAAATGAGCCAACAAGCATGTTTTCTTCTTCCCTGTCTCTTTCTCCCTTCTGCCTTCTGCCCTGCAGATTTCCCTACCTGATCTCTCTGGGCACAGTACCAGGCCTGCCCCGGGATGTGTTCAGCACAGGCCCTCTGCCCTGTGGCTGTTGGTGATGCATTTTGTAAGCACCAGTCTGGGGCATCCTTTAACCTTTCCAGGCCACTCTGACAGTCAAGTCCGTTTTAGTGGAATCTCCCATGGTTCTGAATGCCAGGCTTTTGTCCCTGGTGGAGCTGTTCCCTGCTCCCTGCTGTGCCATTCCCTGGGCCTCATTCTGTAGGAACATCCCTCCCAGAATATGTGTGACTGGTGTACAGTGCATTAGGATGTGTGCATGAACAGGGAGGGTGCAGACGGTTCAGGCCCTGAAGGCTCAAATCAGAGGTACACAAACTCGAGTCAAGTTCCCGATGGTGGTACAGTAGGAGCTTTCCCTTTGAGCCACTGTTATGGGTGGGCTTTGGAGGATAACAGGCTGGCAAGCTGGACCTCAGCCTCTTCATTCCTGCCCTTCCTGCCCCTTCACTCTGTCCTTAAGAGCAGCTGCTGTTCCAAGCTAGCAGACTCTGTGCTTAGTCCTATGAGACACCCTGTTATTCAGTGGGTTCCCAGTGAGGTGGGAGGAAAGAAGACACACCCCTGAGGTTAGAAGTGAACAGTCTCAGTAAGCAGCTAGTACATTGTTCCTGCCACCAGGGTCTCTGCACCTTTCTATTGCTTCTGCCCCAGGATCAGTGCAGGAGGGCTGCACAGGCCTGGGGGAGGTGGAGTGAAGCACTGCAGCAGCACAGGGGCAGCCTGTGTTCCTACATGTGACTGAGCCCCCTTCCTCCCTGCCCATCCTTCTCTGGCCCCCAGTGGCCAAGCCAGTGTGAAGCAACCCTCTTCCCCTCTGTTTTGCCTCTGCCTTTGAGTTGAAGCCCTGCTCTTTTTGGGGTAAGCTCATCCTGTGTTTAGGCTAGTGGCTCCAGTGAGGGAAGGGAATGGGGGGTACTGCAGGAGTTGGAAGGAAGAACAGTCTTCTCTTCTGTTATTCCCAAACATTAACTAGACTCAAACGAGAGCCAGTGAGTTAGAAACTGATGCCAGCACGGTTGGAGTCTGAAGGGTGGCAGTGCAGACAAGGATGGGACACGGGGTAGGAAGGGACATACAGGGAAGGAATTGGAAGGCATATAGGGCTGGAAGCTTGGCAAAAGAGTAATAGGATTCTTCTAACAAAGCAAGAAGGAATTAGAAGCAAAGCCCTTGTTCTGGACAGGATCCTGAGTGGCTATAGCTGGAACTCCTGGGTGACCAAATGGCACTGTGCTAATTACCTTTTTTTTCTTGTTTTCTATCCTATCCCCAACCCTTTTCTATCTTCTGCATTCTCTATACCCTAAACCCCATCTTTTCCCTTTTTTCCCTCCTCTTCCTCCTCCCCCCTTCCCTCTTGCCCACCTTCTCCCACATTCCCCCCTTCTTTCTCCACACCCTCATGTTCTACCCGCCACCCCCCATGACCACTAAAGCTCTCCGGTGGATGTGAGTTGACCGTCGTCCTCCAGGACTTCAGTGCAGGCCACAGCAGCGAGCTGAGCATCCAGGTGGGACAGACAGTGGAGCTGCTGGAGCGGCCCAGCGAGAGGCCAGGCTGGTGTCTGGTCCGCACCACAGAACGAAGCCCACCTCAGGAGGGCCTGGTCCCCAGCAGCACCCTGTGCATCTCCCATTCACGAAGCAGCGTGGAGATGGACTGCTTCTTCCCTTTGGTGAAAGGTAGGCAGAGTGGAGCGGGAGGGAAACACCATGGAACTGACCTGTCCTGTAAACCCACTTTGGCTGTCTGGGATTTTATTCAGGGATCTGATGTTAGAGAGAGTGGGTTGGAAGCTTGAAGAGAAAGAGCTACTGGTAGCTGTGTGACTTTGGAAAGTCTGGCTGATCTTCAAAATGAAAATCTTAAGATCTCTAGGCTCTCTCCCCACTTTCCCATTGCATCACACTGTACTCAGAAAAGTCCTCTCCCTCTTATGGACAAACATAGCCTGGACTCCCCACCTGCTCCCTGGTCCCCTCTGCCCCTCTACAGCAACTACTGGCTCTCTGATTCCCCAAATATTCACCCTGACACAGAGGCTCAAGCACCCCAGGAGCTGGCCCCAGTGCAGTAGGCTTCACCCACCACTCACTGATTTCCACTCACAGACCAGTTCTTGGGGCTTGGCTTATATTTTATTTATATTCTGTGTTCCCTCCACATACTTTGTATTCACTTTTTCTCACACCAGGAACACTAAGCTACTTAGGACCATGGTTCTAAGGTCAGAGTCGGCAGAGCCTTCAGGGAACTGAGGCCCAGAGAGCAGGGCAGAGCTAGGTCTTAGTTTGCTGCTTTTTGTAACTGGTTAGATTATCAGCATCAGGGACACCTTCTCTGCAGACTTGTGCTACATATTTATAGGAAAAGAAGAAGGTAATAAATGACCTTGTTGTGTCGGAGGCAGAGACAAGAGTCACCATGAGACCTGTCGCCTGGTAGACAGATACTTTCAGCTCATTCAGTGTTCAAATATTCTGGTTCTGTCTAGAATTCCATCTAGTCCCTCTCCCTTTGGAGAGACCTAGCTTCCTGCTTCTGTCCACTAGATGGTGGCGGCAGGCTGTAGCATTTGTGCACCCAGCTCTCCCATCCAGCTCCCTGGGTGTTTTCTACCAGGAGAAAAACAAAGCTAAAACTACCTCCCAATCCTCCCCACATACCTGAGCCCTTCCCCTGGTTTGGCTATCAATGGCCTTAGCCCCTTTCCTCTGAGGACTGTCAGGTGGTTGTGTGGGGATTTATAACTGCAGGTGTAGTTCTCACTCCTCTGAAGTAGTCCACTGAAGAAACCCCTAGTCCCAGGTAAGAGGAGAATCAAGAAACTGAGGAATATGGTTCTTTTTGGAGTCTAGGGCAGAGTGGGACTCACAGCAGATAGATTGTTGCAGGGGCGAAAGGAGGTAATGAGCACCACAGTGCCTGGAATCAGTCACCCTGGTTGTCCTAAGTTTGTGTTGTATAATTTGTCATAGATTAATCTGGAAAAAGGACTACAAATTCCTATGAATTCAGTAAAAGGACGCATCTGCATACAAAACTGGGGACAGAAGCCTGGAAAAGGCTAACTTCCCACAGGTCCTCAGGAGTGGGTCCTTTTCATTGGGAAGGACTCAGCTCCAGTACTCTGAAACTTCTTAACCTCATCCGGCCTCCCCAGCCCATGGCTAGGTGAAGGTGAATTCCCTCCCAGCGGGGCCCAGGACAGGTAGGAGGAAACAGACAGTGGTGTCAGTAATCCAGATCTAGGGGCTGGAATCAGGGAATGCTCTGCTACAGAGAAAGGAATCCTCTTGACCATTGGACAGAGCAATGGGGATTTAAGTAAAAATGGGAACTGAGGGTCAGGAATGGAAAAGAGAGGCAAAAGAAAAAGGAGGAAGAGAGGCAGTCATAAACTTTTCCAACTGATGCCACCAGCCAGCAGGGCTTCCTGAAGGTGCCACCTGTGCCTATCATCTATTTTGTTGGGTCTTTTTATTTGCAGATTGGTTCCTCTCTCCCTAAGCATAGGCCAGTAAGTCTGGGCCTTCAAAAAGCAGCCTGTGAGCTCTCGCTTCTCTCACCCTTTTGGGCTCAGACTGTGGAAGTGACTGGCCCAAGTCACTTAGGGCCCAAGTCTCTGTTTTTCATCTCATATCTCTATGCCCTCAACAAGACTCTGTTTGAAAAAGCAGTGCTACAGTACGCTGCTCTTACTTGCATTCCAGCTGGCTGCCTGCTGGCAGACTGGCCTTCGCCTCTCTCCACAGCAACACAGTGCCTGCTCCTCCTTAGAACTGATGCAGAATATGCTGTTGTGCCATAGGCAAGGGTGACCTCCTCTGGGGTCTTGGAGGTCAGAATTGACTTTTTTTTCAATGAGCACTACATGAGCTGTGTGAAGCAGGAAATATCTGTGATGTGCTATGCATCGTGTGAGTCTCAGGCCAGAAGTGGGACTCTAGGAGCGCAGAATGCTAGGCCAAGTAGGAAACTTGGAGAGTCACTAGAGTGGGACCCTAACTCCTGCTGCACCTTAGAGTTACTTGGGAGCTTTCCAAAATGACGTTCCCCAGTCCCCACCTAGAACAACTGGAATCAGAACCTCTGGGATGGCTAGAGGGTCCATACTGTGTATTTTAATGCTCCATAGACAGATCTAAGGTACAGCCTGGGTTGAAACCCAATGGATCATCCTGGTCTCCTCTCTGCCAGGAAGACTCTAGCACACAGGAAGGACAGGTGCCTCCCTGAAGGCCCAGGGAGAGCTCTTGACAGACCAGGATTAGACTGGGGCTCCCAGCCTCTCGCCTGCGCTCTGCACTCACTATGAATGCTAGGCTTCCGGGTGGCTCCAGAGTTTCTCTGCTCTTCCCCCATGCCTTCTTTGAGTACACTGGTAGGTTGCTGTCCTAATTAATACATCCACAGTGCAACTCCTGCTAGGGTTGGCGAGAAAGACCAAAGTGTGACAAAGTCGGGTGGGGCCTGCCTTTCCTGTTACTCTGAGACACTGACTCCTATCACTCCTGACATCTCAGGGCTTGTGGTGGGCAGCACTTCTCAAAGGATGGAGACTTTTGGGGGTGGGGGTTGAGATAAGGTCTCACTGTGTAGTTCAGTCTGGTCTTGAATTCACTGTATAGTCCAGGCTGGCCTCAAGCTCATGGTGATCCTCCTGCCTCAGCCTCCTGAGTGCTAGGATTATAGGCGTGTGCCACCATGTCCAATGAGGACAAGAGACTTTGAAGCAATGGTTTTCAACTCTGAAGGCATCTTAGATCCACCTGGAGGAGACTTTAAAATATTGACACCTCATGCTACATGAGAAATTAATTCTGGACTTTGGCATCAGTTTATTTGTAAACTATTTGATGATTCTGATGTTCCATGAGGGCCCAGAATTACTTTATGGGTTCAGTACTCCCAGGATGTCAAGTTTAGGAGGTACTTAACGATGATCAGAGCCAAGCGCAGTGGTTCATGCCTGCAGTCCCTACTACTCTGGAGGCTGAAGCAGGAAGATCACCAGTTCAAGCCCAACCTGCACTAAGCAAATTAGTGGGACTGTCTCAAAATAAAATGTGAAAAAAGGATATAGTTCAGTGTGAAGGCCCTGAGCTCAATCCCCAAAACCAGTAGGAAATTTAAAAGATACCGCAACGGGCTTAGGGGGTAATTTTTAGATAACATATCCTCTACATGTTTTGGGGGTTTTTTTGGTACCAGGGATTGAATTTGGGTCCTTGCGCTTGCACAGCAGGCGGCAAAACCACTGAGTAAATCCCCGGCCCTATTTTTAGATAATATAAAGAACTGCAAGTCAACAATAAAAAACAAACTAGACTTAAAAATGCCAAAGGACTTGAATAGATATTTCTTCAATGAAGATAGCTAATGGCCACTAAGATTAACTCAAAATTAGATACCTCTTTACACCCATTAAGATGGCTTTTATTTAAGAGACAAGGGAGAGGGAGAGAGAGTTATTGTCAAGGATGTGGAGAAATTGGAATGTTTGTGCATTATTGGTGGAAATATAAAATGGTGCAGCTACTATGGAAAACAATGTGGATTTCCTCAGAAAATTAAAAATAGAATTATAGTGTATCATGAACTTAATTTGCACTATGATTTTGAAGAAGATGGCCACATTTGTGTTTGTGTGGAAAAGATGGCCGCAGTTGTGTTTGTCACCTGATGCTGTTTGCAAACAAAAAACAAAATTTTGCCAAATGCTTCTGTTTGCAAACCAAATTGTTTGCAAAGAAAAGCATTCACAAACCAAGGTACCACTGTATATGCTCCAGCAATCCCGCTTCTGGGTATATATCCCAAAGAACCAAAACCAGAGACACAAACACATAGCTGGATGCCATGTTCATAGCAGCATTATTCACGATAGCCAAATGCCAGAAGCCACCCAAGTATCTACTGACAGATGAATAAAGTATGGCGTATAGTGGACAATGGCATATTATTCAGTTTTAAAGAGGGGTTAAAATCTGACACGTTACTTCCTGAATAAAACTTGAGCATGTTATGCTTAGTGAAATAAGCCAGATAAATACTGAATTATTCTACTCATGTGAGGTATCTTGAATACTCAACTTTACAGAAGCAAAAAATAGAATGGTGATCATTGCCAGGGTCTGGGAAGCGGGAATAATGGGGAGTTATTGTTCAGTGGGTACAGAGTTTCCCTTTTACACAATGAAAAAGCTCTGGATATGGATGGTGGTGATGATTACACAACAGTGTGACTAAATGTCACAGAGCTGTACACTAAAAATGGTGAAGATGGTTAAAAAAACAAATGTTAGTCCTGGGTCTTTTCTTTCATGACCTCCAAAAAGCACTTTAGGTTTTTCTCTCCCCAGTTGCACAGGACATCTGTGCTCCTTTTCTTTTCCTATGTGCTTCTTCCCGGCTGCAACTGGACATGCAGGGCCATGCCTCTTTGCTTAGTTAATGCCAAGCCCAGGACTTCCATGGTGAGGCCAGGAAGTGGAAGTGGATGTCCTGGAGCAGAGGGGCAGTAGCCTTGTCTGCTCTTGCTCTTCATGGGGCTCTGTTCTCATGATTCCTGTTGTAATCACATAGCTACCCCCAGGAAAGCTCAGCACGCTCTGGAAGGTGGTACAGAACAAGGAAGAGTGTAGGGAAGTACAGAAGAATGTAGCCCAGGAAAGCTCAC